GAAACAGACTCCCCGGGGCCCACGGCCGCCAGGGGCTGGTGTCAACCCAGGAGATCTGGATCCAGAGGTGGTGCAGAGTGCTGGGGGTGGGAGAGGTGCGGGGTGGAGGATGGGAAGACGGGATGCTGGGGCAGGCTCTGCTGCACCCCCCTGTCCCACTCTTGTGAGACGCAAGGCCTCAGTTCGTCTTTATACGAAGCGGAGGTGGTCTCTGCTGGGCTTCTCCACAGCCAAACTGCCCAGGCCAGGCAGAGCCTCTCTGTTCCCGCTCAGCTCCCCCTGTACTTCAGATAACCCTGTTTCCAAGCCTCGGAGCCCCCTCCTGAGCTCCCGGGGAGGCCGCTCCGCGCTGTCGGGCAGGCACGCCGCTCTTCTGCCCCGCAGGGCTCTGGAGGCCTGCCCGAAAGCCCCCGTCAGCCTCCCTGAAATCCCGTGTCCCAGTGTGTCCTTTCTCTGCTACCAGCATCCCCTGGCCCACAGCCCCGGGACCCCACCCCGAAGGGCACAGGCTCCCTCCTTGCGGCGAGCAGGTGCAGGGTCCAGCTTAGGGCAGCACCCTCCTTAAGCCTTCCCTGGGGGAACCAGGCTGGCCCTGGCCGCGGGGGTCTCGGCGCTGTGTGGGGTAACCTCTCTCCTCCCCCTCCCACCCCACCCAGCTCCACCTCACCTAGAGGTGCCTCACCCAGCTTTTCAGCGAAACAAAATCAAGAGGAAAGGTTTAGCAAGCAGACAAGAGCTCATTACCAGAATTAAGGAGGAGGCACCGCCTGGGGCCGGCGGGGAGGGCCGGGCTGGCAGGAGAGGCACTCCAAGGTGCAGGCGGAAATGCGCACCAGCCACGCAGGGCAGGCGCGCCAAGTATGCCAGGAGATGGGCCCGAGGATGCGGACAGAGACGCCCAGGGCGCATGAGGTCAGCGGTGGAAGAGGGGCACACCTGTATTTGTTTATCTGAGAAGCCAATCTGAAGATACCAATATGTAATACAACAACCATTGTTAATTTCCTATCACCTTGTTTGAAATTCTGTATTGTTTTTATTGTTTTTGTGTTGTTCTGTTTATGTCTTTGTTTTTTGGGGGTTTTTTTTGGTTTTTGGTTTTTCTCCGGTACCAGGAATCGAACTCACAACCGTGCGCTTGCCAGGCAGGCGCTGTGCCGCTGAGCTAAATCCCCAGCCCGTGTCTTTGTGTTTGTTAATTTGTTTTTGTTCTTTTCTCTTTAAAATGAAATAAAATAAAAGCCAAGAACAGGGATGGAGCCAGAGACAGAGCCAGGTCAGTCCAAGGCTGAGACCCAGAGACAAAACCAGGGGTAGCGGAAGACAGGCACAACCGGAAACACCAAAACGCGGGTTTGGATGTCGCACGCAGCCATGCGGCACAGGTGGGTACACGAATGGACGGGAAAAACGCTCAAGTTTCAGGGAGGCTGCTCTCAGTCAGAGGAAGTCAAACTTCTTAAAAAATACCATGGGTCCCTGCAAAGTGGGCTGTGGAAAGATCGGCACAGACAGGACGGGGGTGGGTCCTCAGTGAGCCAGGGTACGCGGCCACCCTCCGTGGGGCGGTCCCGTGTCCACCCTGAAACGGATTACATGGAATGAAGATTATTCTTCGCTGTATTTGCTGCAGGAGGTGAGGTTTTCACTTTCTTCCTTTTTTGGGGGGAACAGTACTGGGGATTGAACCCTCGCATATGCATGCTAGATAAGCACCCTATCACTGAGCTACATCTCTAGCTCATTCTATTCTATTTATTCTATTCTATTGTATTCTATTCTATTCTATTCTATTCTTTCTGTTCTATTCTATTCTATTCTATTCTATTCTATTCTATTCTATTCTATTCTATTCTATTCTATTCTATTCTATTTCTATTCTAGAGATAGGGTCATAATAAATTGCTCAGGCTGGCATTAAGCTTGTGATTCTCCTGCCTCAGCCTCCTGAGTAGCCGCACACCTACATTACAGGCTTACGCCACTGTGCCCAGCTGGTGAAGTTTTCCTTCTAGAAACTGCTAACAACCCAGAGAGGTAGGGAAGCAGGAAACTTTCCTCCTGCCCCTGGAGGGGTCACACAGCTACTGCTGGGCTCTTGTCCTTGTTCACACCATTGCTCCTGCTTCGGGCCAGGCTTACCCTTCCTCACATACTCCCTTGGCTGTGTGCACCTAGAGTCAAGGAACAGAAAGACATCACCCCCTGCCCTCCCTCTGCTCTCAGAAAGCTCAGAATTATGGAAGGAATCTGAGGCGGAGGAGGATGTTGAATTCAATGACCTTTAAAAAATAGCTCTCAGCCAGGTGTGGTGGCACACCCCTGTAAATCCCAGCACTTGGAAGGCTGAGGCAGGAGGATCACCATGACTTTGAGGCCAGCCTGGGCCACACAGTGAGTTCAAGGCCAGCCCAAACTACATAGGAAGACCCTATCTGAAAAAACAAATAAGGGCCGGGGATATAGCTCAGCAGCATAAGCGCCTGCCTGCCAAGCGCAAGGTCCCGAGTTTGAGTCCTGGGACCAAAAAAAAAGAAAACCCAAATAAAGCAAAAACAAAACAAATAAACCAAAAAAAACCAGCTCTCAGCATCCCCCCTCCCATTCTCCCACCCCGACCTCCCCTGCTCTCAGCATCCCCCC